AGAATCGCAGAGCAGGAAGGGACCTCGGAGGTCATCTAGTCCAACCCCCTGCTCGATCGGGTGACACCTTAAGCGGGAAGGGACCTCGGAGGTCATCTAATCCAACCCCATGTTCCAGCAGGAGACCTTTCCAGAATCATGGAATGACAGAGTTGGAAGGGACCTCGGAGGTCATCTAGTCCGACCCCTCTTCGCTCAGGAGAGCCTTACAGAATCATGGAAGGGCAGAGTCGGAAGGGACCTTGGAGGTCATCTAGTCCAACCCCATGTTCAAGCAGGAGACCCTTACAGAATCGCAGAGCAGGAAGGGACCTCGGAGGTCATCTAGTCCAACCCCCTGCTCGATCGGGTGACACCTTAAGCGGGAAGGGACCTCGGAGGTCATCTAGTCCAACCCCATGTTCCAGCAGGAGACCCTTATAGAATCGCAGAGCAGGAAGGGACCTCGGAGGTCATCTAGTGTAGCCCCCTGCCCGAGCAGGAGACCTTTCCAGAATCATGGAATGACAGAGTTGGAAGGGACCTCGGAGGTCATCTAGTCTGACCCCTCTTCGCTCAGGAGAGCCTTACAGAATCATGGAAGGGCAGAGTCGGAAGGGACCTTGGAGGCATCCAGTCCAACCCCATGTTCAAGCAGGAGACCCTTATAGAATCGCAGAGCAGGAAGGGACCTCGGAGGTCATCTAGTCCAACCCCCCCACTCGAGCAGGAGAGCCTTACAGAATCATAGACGGACAGAGTTGGAAGGGACCTCGGAGGTCATCTAGTCCGACCCCCTGCTCGAGCAGGTGACCCTTACAGAATCGCGGAAGGACGGAAGGGACCTCGGAGGTCATCTAGTCCAACCCCCTGCTCAAGCAGGAGACCCTTATAGAATCGCAGAGCAGGAAGGGACCTCGGAGGTCATCTAGTCCAACCCCCCCCACTCGAGCAGGAGAGCCTTACAGAATCATGGAAGGGCAGAGTCGGAAGGGACCTCGGAGGTCATCTAGTCCGACCCCTCTTCGATCAGGAGAGCCTTACAGAATCATGGAAGGGCAGAGTTGGAAGGGACCTCGGAGATCATCTAGTCCAACCCCTCTTCGATCAGGAGAGCCTTACAGAATCATGGAATGACAAACTTGGAAGGGATCTGGGAGGTCATCTAGTCCAACTCCCTACTCGAACAGGAGAACCTTCCAGAATCATAGAATGAAAGAGTTAGAAGGGATCTTGGAGGTCATCCAGTCCAACCCCCCATTTGAGTAGGAGGCTCTTCCAGAATCATAGGACAGAGTTGGAAGGGACCTCAGAGGTCATCTAGTCCAACCCCGTAGCTCGAGCAGGAGACCCTTCCAGAATCACGGAATGACAGTGACGGGCTTTTTTCCTTAATGTCGTCCGGCTCTCTCCCTCTTTCGGGAAGGGTCTGACTTTTGCTCCTCGATTTACAAGAATTCATTCAGTGACAACAGCAGTGAAAAAGGAACTTCGGACCGTTTTCCCCCACTTACGACCGTTGCAGCCTCCTCAAGGTCACGGGATCAAGATTCGGTTGATCTCTACGACGGTCGCAGTGTCCCGGGGGTCATGTGATCCCCTTTGGCGACCTTCCAAAGTCAATGGGGAAGTAACCATGTTACTGCAGTGGTTCACTTTATGACGGTGGCCAGAAAAACGGGGCAAAACTCCCTAAGCAATCCTGTAGTGCAGGGGTCTTCCAACTGGGCCCTTTGGTGACTCGTGGACTTCAACTGCCTGGCTGAGGAATTCTGGGAGTTGAAGTCCACCAGTCACCAAAGGGCCCAGTTGGAAGACCCCTGTCCTGTATAATCTATATCAGGGGTCTTCGAACTTGGCCCTTTTAGGACTGGTGGACTTCAACTCCCAGAATCCCTCAGCCAGGACGCTTTCAGACAGGGCCCTTCCGACTGGGCCCTTTTAGGACTGGTGGACTTCAACTCCCAGAATTCCTCAGCTGGGATGCTTCAAGACAGGGGTCTTCCGACTGGGCCCTTTTAGGACTAGTGGACTTCAACTCCCAGAATCCCTCAGCCAGGATGTTTTAAGACCAGGGTCTTCCAACTGGGCCCTTTTAGGACTGGTGGACTTCAACTCCCAGAATTCCTCAGCCGGCATGCTTCAAGAAAGGAGTCTTCGAACTGGGCCCTTTGGTAACTCGTGGACTTCAACTGCCTGGCTGAGGAATTCTGGGAGTTGAAGTCCACCAGTCAGCAAAGGACCCCGTTGGAAGACCCCTGTTCTGTATAATCTATATCTATATCTTTGAACTTGGCCCTTTTAGGACTGGTGGACTTCAACTCCCAGAATCCCTCAGCCAGGACGCTTTCAGACAGGGGTCTTCCGACTGGGCCCTTTGGTGACTAGTGGACTTCAACTCCCAGAATCCCTCAGCCGGGATGATTTAAGACAGGGGTCTTCCCACTGGGCCCTTGTGTGACTGGTGGACTTCAACTCCCAGAATCCCTCAGCCGGGACGCTTTAAGACAGGGGTCTTTCGACTGGGCCCTTGTGTGACTGGTGGACTTCAACTCCCAGAATCCCTCAGCCAGGACGCTTTCAGACAGGGGTCTTCCGACTGGGCCCTTTTAGGACTGGGGGACTTCAACTCCCAGAATCCCTCAGGCAAGACGCTTTCAGACAGGGGTCTTCCGACTGGGCCCTTTGGTGACTGGTGGACTTCAACTCCCAGAATTCCTCAGCTGGGATGCTTTAAGACCGGGGTCTTCCAACTGGGCCCTTTGGTGACTGGAGGACCTCAACTCCCAGAATCCCTCAGCCAGGACGCTTTCAGACCGGGGTCTTCCGACTGGGCCCTTTTAGGACTGGTGGACTTCAACTCCCAGAATTCCTCAGCCAGGATGTTTTAAGACCGGGGTCTTCCAACTGGGCCCTTTGGTTATTCGTGGACTTCAACTCCCAGAATCCCTCAGCCAGGATGCTTTCAGAGAGGGGTCTTCCAACTGGGCCCTTTGCTGACTGGAGGACCTCAACTGCCTGGCTGAGGAATTCTGGGAGTTGAAGTCCCCCAGTCACCAAACGTCCCCGTCGGAAGACCCCTGTCCTGTATAATCTACATCAGGGGTCTTCGAACTGGGCCCTTTGAAGACTTGTGGACTTCAACTCCCAGAATCCCTCAGCCAGCGTGCCTGGCTGAGGAATTCTGGGAGTTGAAGTCCCCCAGTCCTCAAAGGGCCCAGTGGGAAGCCACAGAAATCTTGAGGCTGGCTGGCGGTCGTAAGTCGAGGACTCCCACGGTCTCCAAGGGGGAGGGGCTTCCTCCCCGGCGGGGCCGTGCACGTGGCGAGGGCCGGGCTCCGCCGCGCATGCGCAGCAGGCAGGCAGGCAAGACAGACAGACGGGGTCCGCGAACCGGTACGGCGGGGCTGCGCTCCATCGTTGCTGCTGCTGCTGCTGCGGCCGGTCGGGTGAGTGGCGGTCGTAGGAGCGAGGACTTTGTGTTTGGGGGGGGGGTGGGCTAGATGGGAGGTCCCGTGGTCAGAGTCTGCAAGGGAGGGGCAGGCTGGGACCCCCAGAAAGAGGGGCAGCCCCTAGTCCGCTGGCTTGTATTGGGGACCCCCCTCCCCAGCCTTTGCTGGGAGGTCCGCAGTTGCGACCCCGGGGGGGGG